TAGTTGCTACATTAATGGTGAAGGTCTGCTAGTTTGACACTAGAACAAGACGCTAACACATCTTATCATTCCATCAAGATAATGTTCACGAAAGCAGTGTTAATCGTTGCACAGAAAGTTGATAAATTCCATTTCAGGGCATTGAGGACCTGTAACCACGGTTAACGGCATCCAGTCCGCAAAAGGTTGCGTCGTTTGTCACGTTCTCATTTCCATTCTGTGACCTTGAGAGAGTGGGATGAGACTATCGCTTTACTCTATATGAGTAGCCTTAGTTCGCTACGGGAGGGCTGTAAGGATTGTTGTATTAATGTGCGTAATGAAGATCATACGCTGGCCAAACGAATAAACTTATTTTATCACGGACTCAATATCCAGGTGGCGTTTGTGGGCATTCGTATCAAACGAATGGATGCCAGTTGTGCATTCTCCTTCATAGTACAATAATACCCCGACTTACCTCGGCTCAGTCGATTTTTGCTTACGTCATCGGTGTATTTTAAATGTTTTAAATAATGAATGAGCTAAATTTTAATTAAAAGAGGTGAATTTATCTGGCTACCCTACGTAGTGAACGAGTACGCGAAAGTGCCCCTGAGTATTTCCGAGTCTCTCCCAGTTGCGCTGAAGCACCACCGAGAGCAGCCGATGTGTATGCGTTGTGACCGGTTTGAGCGTAGATGTATTCACGCCAATATAAATTTCGAACTGCTGAAACCTTATACATTATTTTTTAAAAATGAAACCAACCACCGTCTTTGTCTTCAGTTAAGAAAAGAAAAGCGCTGACTTTAGAAAACAAACTGGAAATGATTACGCTTTTCAAAGCGGATTGAAAGCTTACGACGTGTCTGCGAAAATGAACCTTGCTCAGATCTCTGTGAGGACTATAGTCTAGGACAGAGAAATGATTTTTAAGGTGCAAAATTCCCAAACGATCAATTCAATTAATATTTCGGATATAGCTTGGACTTGTTCGTGAAGTAGTGACTTCACTAAAAATTTTGTGTGATAACCAAATTAGAGTGAATAGTTACCTTGTATTCAATGAAGACAAACTGGTTTTTCAAAGACTGGAGGAGAAATCTGGAAATACAGAAAAGAATGAAACTTTCGCAGTCAACAGTTCCTGGTTAAACAGATTTAAACAGCTGTAATTGGCACAGCACTGAAAAGACTGGGGAGGCGGCGAGGGCCGATGAAGAAACTGGTATTTCTTTCCCTGAAAGATTGACAAAGATGATAGAGGATTAATAGTACTACTCCAAGACCATTTTTTATATTAATCAAACGGGACTGTCTGGAAACAGATGCTTAGAAGAAAGTTTTTTGCTCGTGAGGAGAATCCTTTTCCTAAATTTAAAGCGGTAAAAGATGGGCTCACTGACGCTGGGTTGGAATTCTGCCTTGATTGCAAATTAAAGACACTTCTGATCTAACTCTGAGGCATGGGTCATTTCATATGTCACAATTTCTTCCCTAAGCCCAGGCTCTGTTGCCGATCTCAGAACCTACCTTTCAAAGTATGCTAATTCTCGACCTTGAACGCCCTGAGCAGCTATGATGGACTCTGACCCTCAGATGAATGTGGTGTTTTTGTATCCAAATGCAACAAGTTTGATTCAACAGAACTACAGCCTTGAAAAAGACCCGTAAGACACGAGCTCAGGTGTTAGTACTGGTTAATCACCCGGTTGACCAATTAGCTTGCGTTGTATGAATAAACCGTTTTCGTACAGTTTTCAAGGTACATTCTTAATGTACTTTTCTGCAGGGGCAAAACCGTATGCATGCTGTTGTAATAGTAGCCTGATCAGTAGCCTAACTTGAAAAGTAGATATGCTTATCACACCACGTGCAGTAATTGATTGCATTTATATCGGCAAGACCTGTGGAGCGTTGGAAACCAGATAAACCAGGAACACGACCAAACTATTAGATACCGCAAGGGTAATCATTCTGATCTTGTTTCCATGTTCTGGAAAATAGTCATGGATTAACTACAGGGATGTCATGATGATCGATCGATATGGCGACAAAAGAAAGCTGTTAATCAAGGAGTCGCTTCAAATCGCAGCCAGTAAAGGCAGAATTTGTAACGATTGCTTCGGTTTCACTGTCATTTCCGCAGCTTGGGATATGATTAATTGTTTATTCGGCGACCGATGAATCATCTCACCAGCCGAGTTGTGCACCATCTCACCCAGCAGTTGTTCACCATATTGTGCATTGCCTGATGACCGATGCCAGTTCATCCGAAACGCTGGAATAATTGTACATAGCAGTTTTTTGTGCTGTTGACGATGGAATTATAAGACCTATTTGTCTCTTTTAGTTGTCA